AATCTTGCGTTTTGTAACCAAGTTTGCTTTTAAAAAAATTGACTTTTATTTGATTTCAATTTAAAAACTTACCATCATTAAAAATATAATGTCAAAAAATCAAGTTTATTAATTTTAGGATAATAATATTTTTTACATAATAAAACTTAGAATCAATTCATTTAAAGTAAGGAAAAAAAACTAAAACTTTTAGAATCTGACATAATCAGTCCTGCTAAACTTGATAAAACCACACTTCCTTCTAACAATGATCTTTTGGCGACCTGGAAACTTGAATTTGGCACGACGAAAAAGATAGTATTGTATAAAAGTAAGAGTTAAAAAAATTATACATAATATTGTCTTTTTGAGAAATTTTCTTCTTTAATGTTTGCCTTTTAAATTTTTTTTTTATCTTAAAGATTAAATAAAACTGAAATAAATTGTTAATGAAAAGAAATGAAAGGTATTGCTTAAAACTAATAACAAAAGTCATAAAATAGCATAAAATAAAAGTACAATTCAATCTAATTTTTCTACATGCGCTTTTTCTCCTGAGAATCTGTCATGCAGCACTTTTCTTCTTTTTTATGTTCCGCTGTCCCTTACCCAAAGCAATCGGTGTAAAAGGCATGGTACCATCACTGGGGCCCTGTCCCTGATCAGCGCCCTCATCATGATCATGAGAGGAATGCTCAGCATCATCATCAGCATCATCATCATGCTCCTGATCCCCAATATCCTCATGATCTTGATTATCTTCTTGATCATTATGGATATCGTCACCACCTAGATGCTGACTATGATGACCACCCTCGTAACTAGTCTCAAAGAAACCCCCAGCATTAGGATCTAGATTAATAAAATCTGAATCAAAATGCATTTGCTCAAAAGGAGGAGAGGGATGGTGGTGTGGCGATGCTGGATGGTAAGGAGACACATGCGGGGTAGAAGATTGCCCGCCGGTATCCTGGGTGGCCACAGGTTTTCTCATTCTCCCACTCTCTAACTGGAAGCCGCCTCGGTCAGTCCTGGGAGGCCTAGGTGGGATATACTCCTGGGTTGGGTCAGCTGGAATAAAATCTTGGCTTGGGTTCTCACTATCAGCCCAAACAGATGTCTTGTGTGACGATCATTACTCTTGTGTCAAATCGTGCAGCTGTAGGAAGGCATTGTGATTCCAAGAATCAGCTGGATTACGTTGTAGCCCATCTAGAGTAATATGCCGCATGTTTTGCACTAAATTGGCCTGAAAATTATGAAAGGAAATAAGTATATATGGTAAATTAAAAATATATAATAAATATATTTTATAAATGAACATATATATGGTAAATTAATTATAGGAAATAACATTTTAGAAAGTTATATAATACAAAATCATATTAATATGGGTGTGATTAAAGAAATAGTAGAACTGTAACTTACCATTATATGTAGTGACTCAGCAGATCACTGAAAACCCTGGGGCTGACGATAGTCTGATGGATTGGTGACCAAAGTGACAGTGTGATTTTGATACCACACTAGATATTCCGGTGCTGCCTGGGGTTCAAGAGTCATATCCGTCTGAAGACCTGCAAGGGTGCTGTGTCGATTCTCCCACCTCTGTAAGACGTCATCTCGACATTTCTTACCACGCGTCTCCTTATGCAACTTTTCTATTTCTTTTTTCTCCATGATGAAAGTGTTGTCAGGCACCCGCTGCAAGAAGCCAAACTGGCGCAACACCCTGCCTGGGATGTGTGGCTCTCGGATACCAAAATAAAGCAACCAAGTCTGGGACATCCATATGGCAGAGCCGACAGAGCAAGATGGATCAATGTCTGCTAGAATAGCAGGAGAATACGGCATCTAAACAAACTTTAGAGAGACAGATAATACAAAAAATTTATGTGAATATATAAGAAAAAAAATTGATTTATACGTTATGATGGTTCAAATAAAAAATACTTACATTATGTTCTTGCAAAACCGCAAGCTGGTCTTGATAGGCGGTTAGATTAAATCGTGTGATGTCTCCCACTTTTCTAGGACGGTTCCACCTACAAAAAATATAGTTTTGATTGAAAAAACGGAAAAAAATTATCAAAAAATATAACTAATTAAGATAATTATTGAATAGTTGAAAATTAATTACCTCCTGCCCAAGGGACACCCCTGAAGATCTGGTACGGGCCCACGTAACTCCGGACGGAAAGTCAATATCCGCTCCCAAGCCCATAACTAATTTGCAATAAAATAATACGTGAAATTAAAAATACAAATACAATAATTAAAAAACTAAAAATAACATACAATTATAAATATTAGGATTCTAACAAAAAATTACAAATAAGGAAAATAAAAATAAATCGAAAAAAATTAAAATAAAATGAATAAAAACTAACAATCAAATACAAATACAAGGGCGGTTTGAAATTACCTGTAAGAGTAGTAAGCAGCCACAAATACCCTGTCCAGACAATGTGATCACTGAGGAAGTGCATAGATTTCGGTACAACCACGCCAGTGTAGCACTACCCCAACTAAACTCCCGAAATGTATTTGGGTCCTCCAAATACCCCACCAGCCCAGGGAAAAGCTGTTTCGCTGCTATCAGAAACAATAACCCTCCTAAAATCCATCCGACAAAACAACGTGCCCGCTGAAGGTACATATCCTCCGTAGCATCTCCGGTAGCAGATTAGTCATAATGTGTCTCTTTATATACGTGATGTTTACTACCTTATCCTTCGTGGCCTTAGGACGCTGTCGGAATCCAAACAGACTCTCTAAATAATCGGCCTACTCCACATCCTGTGGAGGTACTGTCCCCTGAACCACTGCATGGCCATCAACCCGCAGACCCAGAAGGACCTCGACATCCTGTAGAGTAATAGTTGCCTCTCCAATAGGCAAGTGAAATGAATGGGTCTCAGGCCGCCATCGCTCAACTAAGGCTGTAATGAGGGCCCAATCTAACTTAATAGAACCAATTCAAAAAAGAGGCCCTAGACCAAACTTTGCTATTTGGGCATGTATCTGTGGGGCAGCCTTGTCTAGTTCAGGCCATAGGTCAGTATCCACTCGGTATGCGGAAAGTTCTTTCAAATAAGCCTTATTACCCCTAAATGTATGGAATGACCGATGATCATCATGAAGGACCAATAAACTCTTATCTATAGGACCCTGCTGGAGGTCATATTGTCTAGACTGCAAAGACGATGATGATCCCGTCTCCATACCCCAAATAAAAATAATACAAACAAATACAAATACACTAAATAAAAATAATACAAAATAATACAAATACCCTAAATAAATATAATACAAACTAATACAAATACACTAAATAAATATAATCAAACAAATACAAATACACTAAATAAAAATAATACAAAAAAATACAAACAAATACAAATACACTAAATAAATATAATACAAAATAATACAAATACCCTAAATAAATATAATACAAACTAATACAAATACACTAAATAAATATAATACAAACAAATACAAATACACTAAATAAAAATAATACAAAATAATACAAAAGAATACAAATACCCTAAATAAATATAATACAAACTAATACAAATACACTAAATAAAAATAATACAAAATAATACAAATACAAATACATTAAATAAAAATAAAAAACAAAAAAAACAATTCGAAAGATGACGCCGGCCGACAACAACGTCGGCCGACAACAACAACAACAGCGTAACAACGCCGGCACCGACGACAACAACAACAACAACAAAAACAACAACGCCGGCGACAACAACTCCAGTCGATCTAAATTCGCCGGCCGTAAATGCAAAGAAATCAATGGAATAAATAAACTAGAACAAAAACGAAATAACACGACATAAATCTGAAAATAACCAAAGCATTATGAAGTACAAAACACTTACCTACCTTTTGTGGAGGAGGAGAAGCCGGGAACAATGGCTGAAAAACGGGGAGAACGCTGGGGAGAGAGGAGGCGCCGGCTTCAATGGTGAAAACCGGGGAAAAACCGACGGGGAGAGAAGTGGTATTTGTCAATTTCATCTATGTTTTCCTGAAACAACTTGTTAGTCTTATACAATGTGGCAAGAATCAAAGCAGTGATAGGGAGCATCCGGCAACCTTTTAAGACATTATTTCTCCCCAACGATATCCCCCGTCCCAATAACGGGTACACTTCTCAAGGCCAATTTGCTGAAGATATATGGCTGCATCTCTATTTTTACTTTCTAAATTCATCCATTCTTTTTCAAACTTCCCTTTTTACAACATTGAACAAGCCCTTTGACAAGGTCTTTTGAGTTTCTGCCCAGGAAAATTGCCAGCTAAATTTGCTTTGATGTGCTGCAGACAATAACGGTGCACTCCCATCCCTGGAAATTTATCAAGCATAACATCCATAGCAGCAAGAATACCTATATGGCGATCAGAGATAATGTAGTCTCCTTGTCAAGTAGAACAAATTTTTTCAGGTATTTAAGGAACCATTTCCAGCTGTGCAATGTCTCTTTATCCACGAGAGCAAATGCGATGGGAACAATTGTGTTATTCGAGCACTTCACACATGCCATGATCAATGTTGCTTTGTATGAACCTCGGAGGTGGATGGCGTCGACGGTTATGACTGGCCAAGCAGCTCTAAATAAATGTATAGCTGGCCCAAATGCCCAAAAAATGTACCTGCACACCTTCTTCTTCCGATTCTTGGTATCTATAGTGAACTTAAACTGCATACGGGTATCTGGGTTCGCTTTGAGCAATGCTTCCCGAAAACTGGGCAGTTGTTAAAAGTTGTTTTCCCATGTGCCATACAGACTCTCAAGTGCTTTTCTTCGACCATGCCATGCCTTTTTGTAATTGGGGGTGACCCTATATCTCTGATTTACTTCGACTTGGATCTGCACGACTGAATAACCTGGATCTTTTCGGACATTGGCTGTGATCAATTGAGCAATCATTGTGGACGTCAAGTTACGACCTTCGTTTCTTGTGGTTGCACCAAGACAGTTGTGGCTCTCGATCTATACCACCATTCTCCAAGTATTTGTGTCTTTTTGCAGGGTAGCTCGACATTTCCACAAGCAAGTAGTGCCGTGGAGAAGTTCTTCTGGGTACTTCGGCCCTTTAGTCTCGCATTCAGTGGCCCACATATAGGGACGGCTATATTTTACCCGACATGCCCGACCCTGTCGCAATGTCCATTCCCCCACAGCTGTTTGTACCTCTTTCTTGTTAGCAAAATGTACACCATATCTAACCGTCTGCCAATTACCGTCCCACATTGTGATCCCATCAGAATCCTCATCCAGTTCAGACTTGTCCATGTCACTGATGTCGTCAAAAATAGAAATTACTACTGAAGATGCGCCATGGTCACTGTAATCATCATCAAACTCATCGGACGGCACATACTCCTCGTCACTGTTCCCATGTACGTCATCTTCTGTGTCATCGTCATCTTCATTGGTACCACCAACACCACTACTCCCTGCACCATCATACTGACCACCACTAGTTCCTTCCCCAACATCTTGAACAGGTTCATCTGCAACCTCTACGTACAATGCTGGACGCAAATGGGCACCTCGGTAAATCCATAACATTGACTCGTCGTCTCTTATGGGCGCTTGCCCCCTTCTGCCGTACTCATCTGTGCAGACTAAAACATATTGCAGAGGAAGTATTTGTTGGTTCTCAGATTCTAACACTGTGTACATAATTATCAAGTTCGAGAAACTCCACACTCGATCGATCGAACTGTTGCATCGGGCGTAAATAACTTCTCCCCATATCCCCAACATGATCGATCACTAGACCAGAATATATTCAGATCGAAGGGACCCGGAAAAGACATATTAAGGGCCTGCACATTTAATTTTTATTCAATTAAACATACAAATACATCAATTCATGCTTGTTATAACAATATTCTACCTCACTAGCAGTAATTTACTCCAAAAACTAACAATAAGTCCTATCTTTAGTGAAAAATCTCTAACATAATTTAATAATTCAAAAAATATAATTCGACATCTATATAACAAAGTTTTCAATTAAAAGAATAACAAATTTTGATCAAACTAGCAAATTTAGATTTACACAATGTATTTGATATATTAAAACTAAATTTATTCAACAATACATGAATTTAGCACTCAACGCTAGTGATAAAATATAAAATTAACAGAATCAAAAAAAATAAAACAGGGTCAAATCAATACAAATAATTGGGTCAGAATATAAAATTCACAAAATTGAGGTATAAAGACCAAAATTCGAGATCAACCGGGTTATTCTCTAAATTAATAAAATAACTCATAATATTCAACAAAATTCAACAATTCACATCATAAAAATAATTTTTATTCTTCATTCTACATCAAATATATATTTATTGAAGCAAATTTTCTAAAACCAATTCTCAATAACTACCGAAATTATTAAATTTAGTAATTTCGTACACCACAACAACATTAATAGCCCCAAATGACTATAGAATGTATAAATTTTACAAATTTCATAGAGAAAAAAAACTTACCTAAATGGGTTGCCTCTGTCTTGCTCCCGTTCAGTCCAACCATCCAACCTTCAATATGAAAAATGCCTCTTTCTTGCTCCGCCTCTTCCACCGGAATGAAAATTTCAACTGAATGCAAGAAGAATTGATGGTTTTTAGTTCTGCCGAATTGGAGGTGATGAGTTTTAAATTATGAGTCTAGCCATCACATTCGCATTCGCCAAATGCGAACATTTATCCAAATTGTCAGCAATTGCCACGTGTCGATAAGCTATTGATCAATCAGATTTTAATAGGATAAAAAGATAATTTCGTTTTTTTTTTACCTATATTTTTTTGTTCGCATTCGTTGAATGCGAAAATCTTATGATGGCCCACACTTTTCTCTTTCCTTTCTGTCTCCGCTTTAATTTATTCAGATTAATATGTTCGCATTTGGCAATTGCGAAATTTGTGTGATGGCCCACTTTGAGTTATCTCATTTGTTGATATTATTTGTTTAAGTTGAACTAATTAATTACGTAAAGATGTTTGCATATCACAAATGCGAATACCAGTTTCTTCGCATATCACAAATGCGAGAAACATATAAATTTTTACCCCTCCAACCCTAAGAACACTTTTTTCTACTAACTAAAATTTGGGTACACTAAACTCACGGACCCATTTAATTTACAAATACCTGGAGGAGCAGGAACAACAGTAACAGCAGCTGCCCTTGTTGTCTTCTCTGCATCAGCAAGCTCAGTGCATAATTTCTCCATTTCGCGGGCCATAGATACAATATTCTTATGTAGTACTTCTCTCTGTTCAAGGTTGCTGGCATGCATCTTCTTCTCATACTCAATCCTAGGTCTTTTCATGTAATCAAACCAGAGGGTGTAAGTTGAAGGTAGAAAGGTAATGTTACCCCAAAATAATATAAACTCAGAAAAGAGCTGAATATGTAAGAAACTTTGAACATCTCATTTTAGCTCTACCAGTTGTCAATGCCTATTCCAGCTACAAACTTGTCAGTTTTAGTAAATTTTCAAACTCAAATGATGCTAAGGGCCATTTTTTAATTGTTACTAACAAGCTAAAACCATTCTACCTCTAAAGAAACTTTTAAAATTTGTATTGTTAACCAAACTTTGAATTAAATTATATAAAGTATCTTTATCTACGCGGCATTCAACACATATTGAGATTGCCACTAAAGATGAACGGCATAAGGAGTAATGTACCTTCCTCTCTTAAAATCGACGGATACCTCAACACTAGTGCTTCTTATACTATCACGAAGGCATTGTTTGGTGCCCTCCCCATGATTTGCATGAATCAGACCAAGAGCATATAAAGCAGCTCCTTTAGAATATGGACTGCCACCACCACCAGCCCCACTCTGAGGCAAGTACGGAGCCATCAACGATCTTCCTTGCTGTAGGTGACCCTTTTGAATAACCCCAGCCCTGCTTTTGCACTGAATTTAGCCCAATTTGTGGCTTTGCTAAGCCAGTCCTACCAAAAAGAAACAACAAATCAAAAAGAAATGCTTTTACCAAACTGAAAACTTCTTCATATTAGCCAAGCACTTTGTCGACATAAGAATAAAGTTCAGTCCATGCATTTAAAGAAGATTTTCCCTGAGAGCCAGAGAGCCAAAAGCACTGTTTTCTGTAAGAATTATATTTCTGTGTATGTTACCGGTTGTACATTGAGATATATATACAAGGATACATAAAACCTTAGGTGACTATTCCGGAAACCCTAATTTGGTTTCCTTAATTACATACTCTATCATCCCCCCGCAATCGTAGGAGGATGAGAAATCATGCCTAGATTGGTTCTAAACAAATAGAATTTATCTTTAGCTAATGACTTGGTGAAGACATCTGCAAGTTGAGATTGTGTGGGGATATGACGAACAACAAGAAGACCAGCAACAACTCTTTCACGAACAAAATAGATATCTAGCTCAATATGCTTTGTTCTGCCATGATTAACAGGATTGGGGGCAAGGTAGGTAGCAGAAATATTATCACACAGAATAATTGAAGATCTGGGAAGCTTGATGTGAAGTTTAGATAAAAGATTTTCTAACCAAACAACTTCAGATAAGGTAGTGGCAACGGCGCGGTACTCAGATTCAGCAAAAGATCGTGAAACAGTAGATTGCTTTTTGGAAGACCACGAGACCAACGATGAACCTAAAAAGACACAAAACCCAGTGGTAGAATGTCTAGTTGTCGGACACCTAACCCAATCAGCATCCGAATAAGCCACAAGACGATCAAGAGAACCAACACGGATATGAATATCATAGTGAAGGGTACCCTTAATATACCGTAGAATGGGTTTAACAGCTTGATAATGTTGCTCCCGAGGATCATGCATATGCTGACAAACAAGATTTACAGCATACTGAATGTCCGGTCTAGTGAAAGTAAGGTATTGGAGGGCACCCACCAAACTTCGGTAGAGAGTCAGATTATGAAATGGTGGTGACTCATCAACAGAGAACTGAAAAACCGGAGCAAGTGGAGTGGCAACATGATTAGCTTCATTACGAGAAAGTAATTCCTCAGAATACTTGCGTTGATGCAAAAACCAACCATTTGACTGGGGAGAAATCGAGACACCCAAGAAGTAACTTATAGGGCCAAGATCAGTCATGGCAAAAGCACCCTTCAGAGACTGAATAAGTCTGGTGAGAAGACGATCACTAGAGGCTGTTAAGAGACTATCATCAATACTCAAGACAGTCCGAATTGTCACTGGTTTAACCACAGGACTGAACGTTTGATCATAATCAAGCCCAGGTTTTTGATTATAACCCTGAGCAACCAAACGTGCTTTACAACGATCAAGGGATCCGTCGGATTTGAGTTTCACACGAAAGATCCATTTAGAACCAATGACATTCGGAGAAACAGGTAGTGGGACTAAATCCCATGTATGATTAGACAGAAGGGCGTTGTATTATCACTCATAGCGGCATGCCATTCAGGGTGTTTATTTGTTTCAGTGAAAGATTTTGGTTCTATGGGAAGAGAAGGAGAATTGGTAGTGGCAGTGAGGGAGAAAATCTGTTTGGATTTTCGTGTGCCATCTCGAGTGCGGGTGACCGTAGGATGTGAGGGAGCAATGGAGGATATAGGATCTGAAGGTTGAGTAGGAACGGAAACTTGGGTGGCAGAGATAGAATCTGAAACATGAGTTTTGCTGGGAGAGGAGATAATCGGAGTTGGAAGGCATTTGGGAATGAGAAAGGAAAGATGTTTAAATGAGGGGGCCGAGGTAGGAAGGGGCTGAATCGAAGAGGATAGAATAGGAAAAGGAAACGAAGTTTCATAAAAAATGACATGACCAGAAATGTAGACTTTTCGACAGACTGGATCAAAACAACGATATGATTCTGGATAACCAAGAAACACACAAGGAACTGAACGAGGACTAAGTTTATGAGATACTAAATGAGAGAGATTTGGAAAACAAGAGCAACCAAAAACCCTAAGCACCCCATAATTAGGTGGATGACCAAAGAGAAGTGAGAAAGGGACAGCTCCGAACTTAGATGTAGTAGGCAGCCGGTTTAAGAGATAAACACAAGTGGTTAATGCTTCGACCCAGAATTCATTTGGTAATTGGGCTTGATGAAGAAGAGTATCGACCATGTTAAGAATAGTTTTATTCATCCGTTCAGCATTCCCATTTTGTTGGGGAGTGTATGGACAAGAGACTCGCATTGCGAACCCCTTTGATTTAAGAAAGGTTTGAAGAGATTGAGAACGAACATATTCAGCAGCACCATCTGATTGAAGTATTTTAATAGAAGAATGGAATTGAGTTTGAACAAGATTATAAAATTCAACAAACTTTTGAGGAACTTCAGATTTATTTTTGAGAGGATACACCCATAGGTAATGAGTAAAATCATCTAGAAATAGAATAAAATATTTAAAACCACTAAAGAAAAGACAAGGAGAAGTCCAGACATCAGTATGAATAATATCAAATATAAGTGACAGACGACGAAGATTGAAAAGGAAGCTTATGATGCTTTCCAATTTGACATGCTTGACATAGGTAAAGCTTATTGGACGAAATCACCGAACCAGGAAGACTCTGACGGGACACTAAACTGGACAAGACAGAAGAGTGCGGGTGACCAAGACGTTGATGCCACACTTGGGAAGACACTGGAGCAGCAAACGCCGGACATGACAAGGAAGATGGTGCAAGAGACTGATGTAGCAAGGTAGAAGGAAAGGTATAAAGGGACCCAGTGCTATTGCAACGTAGACGAGGGATCCTCGTCCAGAGATCCTTCACAGAAAAACCAAAAGGATCAAATTCAATGAAACATTGATTTTCAGTAGCAAATTGACGAACAAAGATAAGATTTTTCGCAATAGAATGAACACAGTAAATGCGAGGAAATTTAAACGAAGAACAAGAAATAGTGCCAACAGATTTAATGGGCAACATATTACCATTACCAATCACAACCCTAATAGATTCATTATAAGGCTTTGAATTGGAGAGAATACCTTGAGTAAGAGTCATAGTATTACCACAAGCGGTATCCATATACCAGGATGAGTCCACGGATAGAGGAGAAGGAGGTCGATTATATTGATCGACAAAGTTAGCGGGTTGCCGAAATTGGAAGCATTCTCGAGCAGAGTGATTCGCTTGATTGCATAATTGACAGAGAATAGCAAGTTGTCCTGGCTGAAAAGAGTGAGCTGGACCAAGAAGTGAAGGAGCACGGTTTCTGGGAGAAAACATAGGAGGCTGAAAATTAGAGTAAGCAGGATAAAAAGAATTATACTAACCAGATTGATTTCGGCCACGTCCGCGACCGCCGCGCCCCTGAAAATCCTGGAACCTGCCTCGACCGCGACCATGATTGTTGGTGAAAGGTTGAGAGGCGGCTGAAGTAGGAAGGGATTCAGTTGAAGAAGCCACAACTAACGCTGGAGTTGCCGCGGGAGGAGTAGCAGGGATGTTATTCTGTAGTTGCACTTCGTGCAAGAAAAGCATGGAGCGAGCTTCAACAAATTTAGGCAATGGGACTTTGTGACTAATCGTGGTCGAGACAGATTGATATTTAGAAGGAAGACCAACAAGAATTTGAAGGACCAAGTCGGTTTCCGAGACTGGAGAACTAACCGCCGTTAAAGAATCGGCAAAAGATTTAAGTTTGGTGACATAATCATTAATGGATAAGTCACCCTTCTTTAAACTATGGAATTGGAGTTTCAATTGAAGAAGACGAGAGCCAAGTTGATCATGAAAAAGCTGTTGAATAGTTAACCATGCTTCTCGAGCAGTAAGATTAGAATTTGGTTTAACTATAGCTTGCAAGATTTCGGTTGAGACTGTGGCTTGAATCTAGGAGAGAGCGATGGAATCAATTTGAGTCCATGTTTGAAAAGTAGGATTTGGGACAGAAGCGGAAGAACCATCCGCAGCGGGAAGAGTCTATGGCGGACAGAGAGAAGTACCATTAATGTGATCCATGACACCATGGCCGCGAAAAACCGGAAGAAAGAGTTCCTTACAGAGCATATAGTTGGTGAAATCTAGGACATGAGTAACATAATTTTTGATGTTGGAGAGGCCAATGGCTGGATGAGACAGCGGAGAAGAGGTGTTGGAAGGAGGGGGGTTTGGCCGCTGGTTTTGGATGGCATGGACACCAGTGGTTGTGGATTCTTCAGACCGAGCCATAAAGGAGGACGCACAAATAGCAAGCGGCAGACGCAAAACAGAAAACTAGAAGCAAACGAGAAGTGGCTGGTGTTTTTTTACTTTTTTATTTTTGGTAATCTGGCCAACGAAGAGAGAGATTAGAGAAGTGGGTTTTGTTTGATATTGTTGACGGTGGCGGCGTCGACGGGAAAGGAGAAAGAAGAGCCGGCTAGCCAAGGGAGTACTAATCAGAATTTTCTTCTGTTGTTTTGTTTGTGCGTGGATGAGGCTGGTGGTGATGGATTGATGAGGGATGGTGAATTAACAGCAGCAGGAGCAAGAAGAATGCAGCAGCGGCTGTTATTTTGAGGGAGACTGAAAACGTTTCAGTCAACAAAAGGAAGTAGCGGCGGAAGAACTAGAAGAGAGAAGAGGCGGCTGTTTGAGGTGCCTGTTTTTGGGAAGACAGTAAATAGAGAAGAGAAGTTGGTGGCCCAGGAAAGAAGGTGTGATACCATGTAAGAATTATATTTCTGTGTATGTTACCGGTTGTACTTTGAGATATATATACAAAGATACATAAAACCCTAGGCGACTATTCCGGAAACCCTAATTTGGTTTCCTTAATTACATACTCTATCATTTTCATGTCCAATTCCACAAGTTGCAGATAGCAAAATGCTAAACACATGCATGTAAAAAATGCAAGTTAATCTTAACCTTTTT